GGGGGGGAGTGTCGGTAGAGTATCTTTTAATTCGTGTTGGGCGGGATAGGGAGAATAAAGAAACAAAAACACATGGTCAAAAGTCAAAACATTCAGTTTCTGCTAAAGGCATTGCGCATTTGACGCGATCCCATAATATATTAGTTGTAGTAATTAATTTATCATGTGAACTGGGGCTGGGTTCCCAAACTACTTAGATATTGGGATTTTTACCCAATTTCAAATTCAATATTTAATTTTTCTAGCCGAATATATAAATTATACACGTATTATATATGAATTGTATATATATTATATACTTATATCCATTGGCTATTTTTAGTGTATGGAATTGGGTAGGCGGCTAATAGGATTAATTCTTCTTTCTTATTTTAAAACTTTACTGTTCGTCTGGATAAAAGTTACTAAATTATCGTGAACCTCATATTACACTATAGATATGCTTCTGCCCTCTTCGTTTAAAAATAGGTAATCGGTAAATTTGATTTAATCAATTTCACTATTACTTAGTGTGTGACTACCGTAAGAAAAGTTTAATTCTATAAACTCTCTTTGATCGAATTGAATACTACTATCAATTTTGTTAATGTTACTCTTCTCTTTTTTGTAGTAAACAATTTTTGGTAACTCAAACTAAACGTACATATATACCCTATAAAAAGTCGTTAAAATTAACATTGACTTACATAGAGATGAGTAGATACATGCATGTTTTAGACTTTCCGTTTTATGAGTACAATACATTTGAGAGTTAAGTGATTTCGGTTTTGATCGGGAAAGAATTTTCTTGACTGTTAAGTGAATATTCAGAATTGGACTTTAGTTTGCAGAAATATGATCAAATGGAACCTCTGGTAGAAGTTCAAATGTTAGAAGCTTTTGGAATTGAATTCCGGCCTAAAGTTTAGGTTATCATTTGAAATGAAGTTTGCTCTTTATCAAGTTAAAGTGTAAAATCACTATTTGAAATTATATTTGTAAATTCAACAAAGAACTTGCTTGTTAGAATTTTTTTTTTTTTTTTTTGGTCAAACCAATAAAGTAGGCTAAGATTGAGCCACACTGAACAGGCCTACACTGAAGATAAGGAATTTGTGGGTAAAAGCTTCTCCTCATCGAATTGTTAAAATACTAGTCCGGACATTTATACTAAATTATATTAAATTATCAAGATTTAAATATTCGATGCTAATAAATTTTACTGAATTTGTGATTCATTAAGTGCGGGTGCTGCCTTCTCAGAAGTTTGTATTATAGCCCCTACAAGAAAGCACAATTTAAGTTTTAGTCAACGACTCATCCGCTAGTTCTAGCCTTTTAGAAGTCCAATTAATTACTACATTACTTTCAAGGCCAAAGCTTTTAAAATGAGAAAGGAAATGTACGCATGACTCTGTCGGCGAACTTTCTAAGTGGAGCAACTTATTAAGCCATGATTTATGCCCCTGAACCCGCTTAAGAATAATTACTGTAACACAATTTGTATCCCCACTGATGCATATATCAATGATGACTTTGTATATTGTCGGAATCAAGCTCGATTATGACATGGCAAGTTAAGCTCGTAACATGACAATTAAAGACCGAAGATCGACCTCGAGTCTCACCGAATTAGAACCCGGGGTCAGAACATTTATCTTCGGGAACATTAAATTCGTAATCCGGGAGTCGACCTTAGCCCCGATCGAGCTCGAAGAAATATTGTTAGCATAACCAACAGAAGACCGAAATATCCGTTACCGGTTGGGTGTTACGACGGGAATCTTGGCGCGTATCAGTAAGGAACTGGCAATTAGCTAATCAAGGAATTTTTACCTTTTATAAAATTGTACCTAAAGTGAGACTCATCTACTATATAAAGGAGGTATGGTAATTTATTGAGGACATGATAACACGCATCCCTAAGCAATAAATTGTTATTATTTCTCTTTAAGCTCTTGTTCTTCTGTATCCTAACATTGATCGAAGCGTACCTGACTCGAGGGTGGCTAACCTTCCAAGGCTGATACTATTTAATTCGTGTGGTTTGCATTTACTTTGTCATTATTTATTTCAATTGCGATCTAATTTATCATTTTATATCAAAGTTAGTCCATGTATCCTTAAAACCATTTACAAATTCAATTGTTATCCGATTTTGAGGATAAACAGACTTATTATTTCGATAATCATTTTTTCAAACCAAAAAAGTTATATATACACTTTCTAGAAATCTTACATATAGAAGACAATGTTAAAAATATAATTAAATAAATAAAAATAAAAATACTCTCTAATAATTAAAATTCTATTATCAAAAAAAATTTTACATGCTTGAACTTAAAAAGAAATCAGATTTTCACGTGCAGTGCGTCTTTGATATGTACATAATTAAATAAATAAAAAAAATTCAACTAACCGGTTAAACTTAATGAAATGATAATTTTCATGCACAATGTGTCATTACAACTGCTGTCACAGCACCACGTTCATATGGCATACTGCATACATGGCTGAATGCAGATGCGAACAAGTCGTGATATTTTCAAAGTCGATCTTTGCGCTCCACCTTTCAATGAAGACTTTCTTGAACTGACCATTCACTTGGCCAAAAAAGACTGAATTTTCTCATTGTCATAGAAACTTCGCAGGTTTTCTGGACCAACCGGCCCATAAGCCTCTCTGATCATATGCAGGCCATGATCCACTCCGTCTATATTCTACGGCAGACAGATGTTTTGGTGCCACACCACTGTCAAGTTAGAGGTACAATAAAGTTGTAGTCTTGTTATTAAGAATCCAGAAAGATTATTACTCATTCCGGTCCATTTTAATTAATTTTTTAATTTTTTTTACAATTCATAATATTTAATTTTTTTTGATATCAAAAAAAAATTAATTTTTTTTTTTTAAAGTTACCCTTGAAATAAAGAGCGTAAAAGTAATTGTTGTATAATATAATTAATTTTATTATTAATTAATGCTAAAAATAAATTTCTTAGTATGTATAAAAACAGCCATAAAATCAATTAAACTAAACCGGAAGGATTATAGATAATACACCCGTATAACGTATTATTTTTAAACGAAATGTAAGTGACACTATAAGAGAGGGTGGTTCAACTGGTAAGTACTCTTCATCTTCAACCCTAAGATTGCCGGCTCGAATCACCAAACTACCAAAGTGAGAAAACTCCTGAAAAAGGGGGTTATCAACCCAAAACGAGAAAAAAAAGTCTAGCTATGCTATAAATAACGTATGCCATAGCTCATACTCTAAATAAACATACTCGAGTACTTAAACCTGAGACGACTAATTAAATTATAAGTTTCGACAAGCTTTTAAAGGTCTCCAAACTGAAATAATCTCTCCAATTCTTCTATAGGCTTAAAAAAGAACTCATCAACCTGAAGACAATCAGGAAAACATAGGTCAAAGAGATCTTACAATTGAAAGGGAAAAAAAAATAAAGAAGGGATGTAAGACTCGATTTACAAGGAGAAATAACCGCAAACATCTTTCGGTATTTTGGAGATTTGGTTCCACGACTTCACATCTATATAATAGAGCAGCAACACACATTGTTTGCACTTTTCCTTCAATATTTATCCGCTTCTTTGTAGGCTCCTTCATCATCTCTGTCATTGGAAGTGGAAGACTGCTTTCGGAAGTATTTGTAGTACACATATTGTAATATGATCTAAAGTTGTGTTAAGGCACGGCATTAGCGAAGAACGAATAAATTAGTACTGTGTACGAAAACAATAGATAAATGCATGCTTGTAAAAGGAATACTAAGAGGAATAGGAGGATACAAATAAATCTAGCATAACGCAGACAACAGCATCCAACAACCAAGGCATATTGGCCTTAATCTTACTCCATTCTGTTGATCTAAGTAGTATACTGCATCATGTAAACATAATAAGTGAATTAGGAGCATGTAGCACGGTATTGGATACATTTTAACGATGAATTTACAGGGATGGATTTAAGTTAAATGCACTAATAGTACAAATAATCTTTACATTATCAGTATAATTTAACCTTTATAGTGAATTACTTGGATAAAATTACATGCAAATTAATTTTTTAAGTGAGCAGATTGAGTAAAATATTGTACTTCTTAAAACTAAAACTCTAGCAAAAGTGCTTACTATACAGAGTAAATAACGGGAGAATTAGCTACCTCCCTACGTAAGAGACATTGGCGATGAGTGCAAAGACGAACATGAGAGGATTTAAACCCTGTGCATTGTGCAAAAAAAAGGCACGTTAGACTTCAGCAGTGATGTCCAAGATGCAAGTAATGCCTTGTACAGAGTAAAAACAATTCAGAAAAGAATTAATTCTGTGGAATACCTCGACATTCCCTCGTTTAATCTGTCAAGCAAAGAAACATGTTTAGTGGCTTTGGCATCAAAATTCCATTAAACAAAATAAGGATTCAACATTAACTGTTAATTAGCATTTTGTTAGAGTGATCTGAAATTAATGACTTACGTTTAACCAAATTTGAGGTAGCCGACCACCCATGTAAACAGCAGCCATCATCCACCCCAAAACTTGGCCAACCGCACTGTGTTCCGTCCCGTGCTCCTGCCAAAAGAAGGAATTTTTCACGAATTATACCATCAATAACCTTGTCATTGTCAGGATCTCGTGGTGCAATTACTGAAAGGAGCATACTTGTAATAGTTTTCTTCCACCAAACCCAACAATTAAAGCCTTTGTCTGGTGAGGCAGTCCCGACGATGTGGCTAAGAACGCTCCATAACCTGCCTGGATATATTTTACCATTGAAATTTACTATCTCAGCTTAAGAAAACAAAACAACAGTACAAGAGAATTTTTACATTATCATTGTATTTACGGATCCGTTGTATTTAACCCGTTGTAACAAATTAACTGCCTCATTTTTCAAATAACTACTTCACTTATTATGGACAACGCATGTAATTATCTTTTAAATATTGACGTAAATATGCTGGCATATCACTTTCTGCAGTACAGTAAACAATTTGTATGAGCAAGTTGCGAGAGCAGTAAACTTCTGTTTTGCACATTATACATCCACTAAAAGATTAAATCAATATAAAAATTAATAGGAGGAGGAGATTCACTTACAGATCGTGGGATAGGCTTGGGTTGGCTAACGGAAATATTTTGTGGTGCATCAACTGTGTCCTCATCTGAAGAGTAATTGTGGTTAAGCCCCACTGCTGACGGTCCACTTGCAATAGGCCTTAGATTGGACCTAAATGGCGGGGTTGCACTGCCGGCCAATGATCTTGCAGACCTGCTCTCAAATACTTAATATTCTTAGCAACCACTTAGTCTAATTCTTTTGTTTTGTCTAACGGTATCTGAAATTCATTTGTCCAAATCGTCGGAATAAGCGCTCCCCACCAGAAATTCCTCTATTCCGCATACTTGGATCCAAGACCTTTGATTAAGGGTGGAGAAATCTCATCTACCACACGACATTCCATTTTGGTAAATTAATCTAATTAGTTTATCAAAGCTAATTACAGATATTTTATTAAAACGTGTAGATTGGTAATCTGAAAAAAGTATACATCAAATCATGTTAATATACCATGATTGAAAGACACGTTTTGTGTAAGTATTTGTTGTGATAAATACATCAGCTACACGGGGCAAGTGCTCGTTCTAACATCTCAAAGTAAACAAATGGAGAAAAAGAGCAGAGACTCACGTGAAATAGAAGTCCATACGGCGTGAAGCGGATACTCCTATGCCTTTGGGTATTGGAATCCCTGAATCTGTTGGTTTTTGTGGTCTCAAAGGCTTCTTCACTTCTTCAACCTAATTAATTAAGTTAATCAAATCATCTTTCTATAAGCTCTTATTGTTGCACTGAAATAGCACATTACAGACTTGGAAACGTTAATATGTACCTCTTGACCAGAGTCATCATCTCTGTGTTTCCAGCACCTATAGAAATAGTCATAGTACAAGCTTTGCAGCACTAGTATTATAGTAGTAGTTGTGTAGAGCTGTTCCATAGCAGATCCATTAGAATAAAGAAAAAGAAACTCGTAATAAGCAAGTATTATTTAGTAAACATAAATCAGCTTTCAATTAAGAAAAAAAAGATGGGAATATTGGATAAGCATTTGTATTACCACAGCTGTGTACAGTTGAGTCGGCAACTGCATGAAGTAGAAAGAAATCAAAATATCAGAGACTTCAACGGCGCGCCATTCGATGAGAGAAACCAAAGCGGTTTAATTAACTTCATGATTGAAATTAAAGTTCTAATTTAAGCTCACCGTTGCAGGCTCAAGAAGGCAACCTGCTAGATTGAATATGTCACTGCATCGAACATAACGAACATATATACATTTTTAATTAGAATGGTTAAATTAAGAGGTCCTATTGAAAGAAAGAAAAATCCTATAGCACTCTGATTAAATAATAACAACTAAAATTCAATTCCAAGCAAGTCAGAATCGATTGAATGAATTTTCGGTTCATGTCAATCCTGAACTTTGGAGTGTGCCTAGGTGAGCACGTCCAACAAATACTGTGAAAATTGAAGAAAATGGTAAATGAAAGGTGAAAGAAACTAACCCGCCAACCCAACCAAGAAGGAAAAGAAGTGAAACGCCATGGCTTGATTTAGTTCTGAAGTTGGTGATAATTTGTGGGACTTCAGCGACAGCCCAACAGAAGAGGCTGACAAGACCAAAAGCAAAGGAGAATTCATCACTTAGGTTGCAAAGGCAATCCTTGAAATACCTATTCACCCAACCAATACATGGTTTTTTCTCCTTAACACAGTACGCTATTAAATTCTTCTGCCGTAATGACATTATGGCCTTCATTTCCTCTCTTAGTTTCTACTGTTTAGTGTCTTCTAAAGATGATGAAGTATCGAAGAATAAACTGCGCGACACATATATAGGATATTAGCCCCTCGGTGCTCTATGTGGAACAGAAATGCTCAAGACTAGGACAAAAATATAAGAGAGACATTCTCGACTCCTCGGAGTCTGTGATATTGTTGCCTGCTTTTACGATTCTACCCCTGAAAAGTGAAAATTTCTTTCAATTGACAAGTACGCTAATATGGATCAAGATCGAAAATTATAAGGAAACTAGCTATTTCCGTTTATAAGTAGTTTATTGTAAAAATTAGTTAATTTATAAAATATTATTAATATTAGCTAATTAGTTATAAAAAAAGATCAATTTTTTTTTTTAAGATGGTATTATTAGAATAGATTGAGTACATATTAAGGAGTTTGAATCTCGTTTTTGGATGATTTGGTAGAGTTTAGAGGTGGTTTGAATTAAAAATTTAAAATAGAGATGAACATTAAAAGAAATGATATGTGTATCAGATGTATATCCATGTATATATGTGTGAGATACAAGCGTGATACATATTTGATACAAATGTCGCAGAATAATTTTTTGAACTCGATTTTAACTACGAATTTTGAAACCAAATCACCTCCAATCTTCCTCAAATTTTGTATAGACTTATCTATATATTTTTAATGAATTTCAACCATACNATTTTCTTTTCGTCTTGCATCTAATGTTGCTGATCACACTTAAAAATATGGAAGGAGATCTTTGCATGTGATTCTTGGAGAGAAATGATCTTATTTGTTTGAGTTTTCAATTTTTATATGTGTTTAGCTAGTTTTTATAAGTTTATAATTAATAGTTAGAGATTGGTAAATTAGAACTTATTTGAGACATTTACTTAACAACAACAACAACAACAACCTAGTATAATCCCACTAGTGGGGTCTGGGGAGGGTAGGTGTACGCAGACCTGACCCCTACCCTGGGGTAGAGAGGCTGTTTCCAATAGACCCTCAGCTCTCTCCCTCCAAGAACTCCCCACCTTACTCTTGGGGTGACTCGAACTCACAACCTCTTGGTTGGAAGTGGAGGATGCTTATCACTAGAGCAACCCGTTCTTGCCTAGTAATTGTGCTCATCATGAAAAAGAAAGAAAAAGAAAATTTTGATATGATAGTTTTGAACTTATGGCGCTTTTGACATTTCTATGAATATATGTAATTTGTTTTGCAAAATTGTCGAATCAAAGCTTATATTCTTCAACAATGTTTAGTGAAAAACTTTTAATCACTTTGTGCCTTATTACCTACTTATAAGATAACAAACATAATACTAAAAGTTTAGTGATTTCTAGGGGTGTTAAAGGATATTTAAAAACCGACTAAATCGACCGAACCGTATCATATCAAATCGATTTTTAAATTTCTTTTAATAAAACCGTAAGTTTTTATATAAATCTATAACCATACCGATAATTAGGGTATGTTTTTTATTTTATGAAAATAAACCGAAAAATATATCGAGTTGTACTAAATAAATTTATAATATGAAAAATAGATCTATATATTAAGTTTAAAAATAATAAAGTATTAAATTTATAATATAAAAATAATAAAACATTAAATTTTTTCTTGGGCCTTGGAATTATGAAATAGTTATGAGCCAATAAATAACTAAACTCAAAATCCTACTTCCCAAACCCATTATGCTACTTCTATTGAAACTAAATTATTTCCAGCATATTCACTAGCAAGACACAAAGTATTATAGCGATCTTGAGTAGCAAATTACACAAATTACAATATATTGAATATGTTTCCTTTCGTATGATTCAGATTTATCGTTTTGAATATTTAATCTTCTATAGATTTTATTATTGAGCCCCAACTTGGTTAATATCTTTCATATTTGCTTAGTTTATTTTATGCCGTAGTAGAATAGTTGATGAATCTATACTCTAGCCATCTTTTATGTTTTCTTAATTCATCACATTTTAAACTGTAAAAATGTCTAGAGAGTTTTGCCAAATCTTATAAAAGTACGTATGTAATTGCATTCTACTTCTAATACTAACTTTTACATGACATTTTAAAAAAATACCGAAAATTAACCGAACTGTACCGATACCGAAGAGAAACCGACATGATCGGGACGGTTTCGAAAAGTTTAATTTTGGTTATATATAATAGAATAACCGAAAAATTGGTATGGTACAAACTTTATAAAATAACGAACCGAACCATTGACACCCCAGTGATTTTCATATCATTTAAATGGAAATGATATTGCTTTCATTAAATTCAATCTGATTTTTAGCCTTTATGCTACTCTTTCCTTTTTATGTGGCTCTTACCCTTCGTTTAATAGCATAATTTGAAATGTAAAAATGTGGTTTAGACTTTAGCTAACTGAAACGTGTTTATATCAATTTGAATAATATATATAACATAATATTTAATGCTAATATCTTATTTCAAGTACTTGCATTGTTGGAGGTAGGAGATCTTTTATTTAAATTGTTCAACCTTACATGAACATTCCACGAACGGAAAGAGCGTCCGTTTAGTAGGATGGAGTATATCGGTAATGATAGCCCATTTATGTTTTTCATTTGTTGATAATCCGGATATCAATCTAACGTAAAAACTAAAAAGTATTATTTTTTCTGTCTACCTTGTCTTTAATTATTGTAGATATTTATGTTAAAAATATATAATGTTTGAACGGTAAATACTTACCCGCACCGAGTATTACACCCATCCTATAAATAAATGACACATGTCATTTTATTTAACCACAATTCTTAATATATAACCATAGTTAACTACCATATATTTTTTACATGATTTTAAATAATAATATAAAAATACTTAATAATTTTGCTATTATTTGTTATGTTCCTTATGTTAACGTCAACTTGAACCAGCAGTAAGTTACTGAAAACACAAGAAACCAACCGGGGAAAACTCATTTGTTCAAAAATTGTTTCATAGATTATACTACAAAACAAAGATGTAGTTTATTAGGATTTATTGATAA